AAAGAAAGGGGGGGGTGAGAAAATAGGGGATGGGGGATAAAAAGGAGCACTTATATGAAGAGAGGTGCTTGAATTGCTTCTGCTTCCTCCCCGGCATTTCCCACCCCCTTTCACTTTCTCCTTCTTGGTTTTAGGAGAGATCAAATTAAAAAGAAGAAGAAAAAACCGCCACCACACCAAAGCCAGAAAAGGGGCAGAGACAGGCACAACAAGGGGGCAAAGGGGTGGCTGCCCAGCAGAGGCTGGTTTTCTTGTCCTGGGCTATTGGGGGGGGGGTAAGAAACCACTTCTCCTGGAGCAAAGGAGAAGAAGGGGTTCCCCCTCTCACTTTTTTCTGTGCCCTTCCCACCTTTTCTTGCTCTGTTCTTCCAGAGCAGCAGGAGGAGAAAGACAGTGGGGGAAGGCGGTCTGAGATGCACTCAGGAGCCCTTCCCGGGCTCTGCTGCTCTGGGCTGGAGCAGGGAGGCTGAAGCCTATCGCAGCCAGGAGAAGCGGCGGCCCCCCAGCTCGCCCTACCCGCCGCCGCCGCCTGCCCCTCTGCTCTGCCGGGACTGAACCTGGAGGCACAGCTGGGGAGGGGCTGAGCGAGCAGCCAGGGAGGTGCAGAAGTGCTGGAGGCCGGGCGAGCGAGGCAAGCATCTGACCCCCACCAATCCACCACCTCAGCTGCTGCCACCCCCGCTTCCCCACCACCACCACCTTCCTTCATTCCTCCTTTCTGCAAAGAGGCCAAACAGCCAGGGCCAAACGGGCGCGCTCAGGCGCTCGCATGTCCTCCCCATCTCGTTCTGATATGTGGCAGTTTCTGCAGAGACCCTGACCACCACCCCCAGCGTCCCCACTTTTATTGCCCCTTCTCGGCAGGAAGAGCGTCCGTGGGTCTGCAGCTTCATGGGGGGGGGGCGGTGCGCACGTGGACAGCTGAGCAAAAAAGTTAACTGCTCTGCAAAGGACTTGGATGGAGCTGGGAAATTGAGGGGGTGGGGGCGGCGGCCATGTCCGTGTGTGGTATGCACGTTGCTTCCAGGCGAGAGGAGGAGAAAAAACGAGAGGGAAGGGGGAGGCCGTCTGAGATGCACTCGGGAGTCTTTCCCGGGCTCTGCTGCTCTTGTCTGAAGCAAGGAGGCCGAAGCCTTGGCTGGCTCGCCTCGGCTGGCTCTGATCCTTCATTTTATTGCAGACAGGAGAAGCGGCCGCCCCCAGCTCGTCCTGGGGAGAGCAGAGCAGCCTCCCCCACTTCTCTGCCAGGACCTCGTATGTGCAAATGGTGGAGCAGGCCTCCCAGGGGCCGCTCCACCACGCGCGCTGGAGCACGTGCACAGGCGCAGACGGGTAGAACGGGGTGAGCGCACGGGGTTGAGTGCACGCAGGTGGGGGGACGGGAGGTCTGTCCCAACTATCATTCTGACTCCGCCCCCCTGCTCTATCTTCTGATTGGGTTCCATTACAGTTTCCCTACAGAACAAAAATGGAAAAATATAACTGTCAAGCTATAATGGATTGCATGAGATGTTTTGAACATCTCAAAATATATATATTTACACTGATTGCCTGCATTATAGGCATAGTGTTGGGGAGAAATTGGGTAAGTAACTCTGACAGAGAGGTCCTGTGGTGTGTGGGATATGGGATGGAGCCTGGCTCAGGATCAGGAGCACCATGGCTGTCAAATTGTTGGTTTTAGAAAGCAGTTTTCTCTTCCACTGCAAGCCACTGGTGCTCTTACAGCTTGCATCTGCTGGTTTCTCCGATCTCATCTCCATGACAGGAACAATGGGTGGTGGTGGTGGTATAGAGACCTTGCAGATGGCAAATATTAATTCTTAAGCTGAAATTTGTTTAGGCGTGGGTTATTCATCAAGGGAGGAGATTTCCTCCAGTCAAGAACAGAAAACAAGTGTGATTTGTTATGTGTTACTAAGTCATATAGTGACCCTAAAAGGATTTTCAAGGTAAGTGAGATATTTAAGGAGTGGTTTTGCCAGTTCCACGCCCCCAGTGAGTTTCCATGGCTGAGTGGGGATTTGAACTCAGGCCTCCTGAGTTCTAGTTCCTCACTCACAGAAGCCGATCTGGCATTTCTCCTCCACCGGGCCCCTCCTCCGCTGCTGCAAGCACCATCGGGACAGCCTTTCGGGAGGAGCCAGGCTGTGGGAAAGGAAGACGGAAGCTGATCCGGTCTTTTTCCCCCACCGGGAGGCTTCTCCCAAAGTGCTGCGCCCGATGGTGGGGGAGAAAACCGGATAATCCGTTCCTATTGGAACGGATTATCTGGTTTTCAATGCATCTCTATGGGAAAACGCGTTTCACTTAGCGATGTTTTCCCATAGCGATGTTTTTTGTGGAACCAATTAAAATTGTTAAGCGAGGCACCACTTACTAGCAAGAAGTGTGGGAGGGGAAATATTTTAAAGAATCAGGCTCAAACATGTGCAGGGAACCCCTCAAAAAGGTACTTAATGGGAATCTAGCCCTGCCATCACCATCAGGAGAATATCCAGATACTCAGGAAATAGCTACATAGCATTTTGAAAGGGTGGGGAAGCAGATACTCATTCACAAGTATTTGTGACCCCAGGAAAAAAATGGCAGCCCATTCCAGTTCTTTATGCTTGGCCATATGTGGTGGAGGTATGTGCGAATGAGAATAAGTCACACACCTTGGCACAACTGAGGTCTGTCAATTTAACAGAGAAGAAGGTGGCACTTTATTGTAAAGTGACTTGGTTTAGAATTAAGCCTAAATTATTTCAGCCTTGTATAAAAGTAATTTTAGATGACTCTGTACTGGAAGCCTGGGTATGTTTACTGAGAAGGAAGTTGTACTGTTTCTAAGCAGGTTTATGCTCACTGCTAAATACTGCATACTTAAAGCCACTTAAAGTCCAATTCCTCTTGTGCACCAAAAAATAAAATAAAAGTGAAATGCATAGCAGAGCGACAGACAAGGATTAATCACACCACTTCCCCTCTTCCTGTCTCTCCCAGTTGCGTCAATCGGAGGCCCCTCCACCACCACCAGCCCCTCTGGGTCCTCCAGTACAGACATGGCGCCGTTTATGTGCCAGCAAGGTAAGGCACCAAAGACTTACTTGATGAGAGAGGATCACACCAAAGTCTGTAACACTTGAACAGTGTCGACAATCTAGACAAGGTTTTAAGAAATCATGATAAATTGCCTGTGGGATGGGGAGGTGGCGTGCTGAACTTTGGAAAACCTCTTTCTGAAAGCGCTGTGCCATATATTATACATATGCCTTTCTAACTTTCAGATGTGAAGCCCACGAGGAATTCAATCCGAGGACTCAGTGGTTGGGAGTGACAGAGCAAAATCCAGCTGCCAGTTTTCTTCCCTTGTTTGAAACAAATAAATAAATCTTTGTGAACCGTTGGCATTCAGTTAAGTAGCAACCTATGTTGAACAACCTCTAACCGATGGCCCCTATGGGCCTTTTTCGCTATGCGATGATCGCGCGGACGTGATCAAAGCATAGCGAACAGCTGATCGGCGGTTCCAAAATGACCAGCGCTAAAACAAAATGGCGACCGCTGTTTTGCCTCGCTAATGAGGCATCCAACGTTCTGGAGGAACCTCGCAGAACGGTGAGTTTTAAGCCCATAGGAATGTATTAAATCAGTTTTAATACGTTCCTATGGGCTTTTTAAGTTCACTTAGCGATGTTTCGCTGGGCGAGTGTTAATCCAGAACGGATTAACCTCGCTATGCGAGGGACCACTATTGGGTTACTCTAGACAACATCTACTCAGGGTGGCTTACATCAGTTAAAACAAGTTAAAAACATATAAAATGCATTTATACTAATTAGTTCTAAACAAAAGGTTTCCAAGATGGTAGTATACAAAAGAAAGAAAGAAAGAAAAAAGATAGAGAAAAAGAAAAGGAAAATGACTTAATTGACTGGGGGGTAGGCCTGTTTAAACAACCAAGTTTTTAATTGGCTTTTGAAAACCCCCAGCAAGGGTGCCAGCCGGATTTCAGTGGGGAGTATGTTCCACAGCCGAGGGGCAACCGCCGAGAAGGCCCGGTTTCTTGTTTTCTCCTTCTGGGCCTCCCTCGGCGACAGTCCCCTCAGCCGTCCCCGCTGGCTATGTCGGGTGACTCAGGTAGATCTGAGGCAATGTAATTTTGGAACACTAGGTATGGATGTGAAACTTGGGCAGGAAGGAAAACTGACTGGAGTAGGGGGAGGAATCAGGTAATTTTAAATGTGTTGGAGGAGAGCTTTAGACTGCCAGAAAGAAAAACAAATGGGTTGTAGATCAAATCAAGCCTGAACTTTCAATAGAAATTAAATTGATTTAACTAAGGCTGACATATTTTGAGCATACAGGCTGAAATCCTGTTGCTTTGTTACACATGCAGAAGACCAACACCATAATTTTCGATGCCTGGGAAGACAGATCAAAAGATAAATAAAGAGAGGAGTAAACTGAGAAGAATGAGTAATCACACAGCTGGATTAAGTTATAGTGCTTTATACATATAAATCATTATTTAGCATTTAATTTTGGCTTCTAACTTGCTCGACCTCTTACCAAGACTCACATAAAAAGAAAAAATCAATGCCATCTATACATTATTCAGATTTATATAATTAAAGACTCTTGTTTCTTTTTTTACTGATGAAGTAGAGTTAGTTTAACTCTGATGGGTTTTAGAACTATACGTTGACTTGGAAATAATTTGACCAATATCCACAAAATACGATAAAAGTGACAAAAATCATCCAAGTCTACAGTCGTTTTAATACATTTTAGACTGGTAGATTTATTACAGCATGATCATGTTGTGGATTACAATATACTACCTTAGATTGTTGTAGCAGAACCTTAAGATGGTCAAATACAATAACAGCCTTTCTACAGATGAATAGAAATTCGATTTTGCTGTGAATCCGCATTGAGAATTTAGTGCATAGAACATTTGTTTTGATAATATCCTTTCCTTTTAACAAGACAAACTTGACTTCTGGTATATCAAATTCAAAGAATCATAAAAAATTAAGTTGTAGCAATAGGTGGCAGCAAAAGTCCATCATATCTTAGCTACATATGACTAATGTCATATGTAGTAGTAACATGAGCAGTGGGGGAATGAGAATAGTGTATCTGTCTTCATGTCAAATGTGAAGTATTGCTGGGACACGATTAAGAAAATGCTGGTGAGACTAAGAAATAGACCACAGCAGGCAATTTTGGTGGTGCCGGGGACTATTTTTTAGATTGGCTGTCAGGAAGCTGCACTCCCAAGGCGGCATGAGTAAAGGAGGAAGGGGTTTGGCCAAAGAGTTAATATGCTGTTAAATGATGTCTTCGTTGTTTAAAAATTATTAAACAGTTGATTCTTTAATAGTTAAATAATTTCCTTAAACACATTAAGCAGCACACTTTAAAGATCAAGAATGCCCCACCCCAAACACTGGTGTGTGTACTTAATCAAAACATAATATACAGTATACAAGATTCGGTTTCCACTGCAATGTGGCATTTACTCAAGGACGCTCTCCAATGATAAGCAGGAGATGGCAATACTGTATAAAAGAAGCCCAAATGGAGGAATATGTGTGACATCATCATATTCTTCTTCCTATGATTAGAAAGGCATGATGAGCTGGTGAAGGTCTCTAGAAACCTTGAGAGCAGTTTCAGCAGAGGTTACTGAGTTCAAGAAGCAAATTAGAGAGAGTGGAAGAGAAAGGTATAACAGCAAGCACATATCAAGGAATCTGAGGCAATGAGAGATGGGGAAATTAGCAGTTTGCTATAAGGATAAGTATTAGAAGAGAGCTGGGCTGAGAGAGCAAAAATACGAAATATATAACCAGGGATGAAACAGAAAAGAGCAGGTAGTATATAAAGGAACATGAAATCCCAAGATGGCTGCGGATTTATAGGAACTGCAGTCTAACTCAACTAACAGTTGAGAAAGGCTGGTGGTACAGGGGGACAGAGGAGAAGAGACAGGAGAAAAGTGCTAGGGGGTAAAGCCTGAGGAAATGTGTTGTATGACAACCTCAGCTGTCAAACTGTAGTCAAACACCTCTGGAGGGTGACAGACTGGGAAAGTCTTGAGTTCTCTCCCTCTGTCCCTCTCTACACACACACACAGACACACAGAGAGAAAGAGAGAGAGAGAGAGAGAGACTAGTTGCACAGTTCTTTTCAAATAGTTCCCAAGTTTTGTTGACATTCCCCTTGAAAGATCTCTGTGTGGTAAGGGAGAGAGGAAGAGCAGAAATAATTTCTAGACCAAAACCAGAAAAATCATGATTTGTTAAGAAGTCAAACAGATTGTATGGACCAATCTCTTACATAAAGCTTTCATGGCTTGCTAAACTATTTAATATTTCGGGAGCGGCAATCAAAATTAAATATGTATATGGGCATAATGAGAAGCTGTGGTGTTTTATGTTAACAGAGGCTGTAAAACACCTAGTACATTTTGTATTTCTCTTTTTGACAGTCTTTGAAGAGATTGGATGAAATGTGTTCACTGTAATGTCTCTTTGACCGTCTGTAGTAATAGAGTTTTGTCAAGAGAACAAGATGGTCATCACAAACACTCTTTTCCAACAACACAAGAGGCGACTCTATACATGGAAATCACCAGATGGGCAATATCGAAATCAGATTGATTATATTCTCTGCAGCCAAAGATGGAGAAGCTCTATACAGTCAGCAAAAACAAGACCTGGAGCTGACTGCGGCTCTGATCATCAGCTTCTCATAGCAAAATTCAAGCTTAGACTGAAGAGATTAGGAAAAACCACTGGGCCACTCAGGTATAATCTAAACCAAATCCCTTATGAATACACAGTGGAAGTAAAGAACAGATTTAAGGAACTAGATTTGGTGGACAGAGTGCCTGAAGAACTTTGGATAGAGGCTCGTAACATTGTCCAGGAGGCAGCAACAAAAACCATCCCAAAGAAAAGGAAATGCAAGAAAGCAAAGTGGCTGTCCAACGAGGCCTTAGAAATAGCAGAGAGGAGAAGGGAAGCAAAATGCAACGGAGATAGGGAAAGTTACAGAAAATTGAATGCAGACTTCCAAAGAATAGCAAGGAGAGACAAGAGGGCCTTCTTAAATGAACAATGCAAAGAAATAGAGGAAAATAACAGAAAAGGAAAAACCAGAGATCTGTTCAGGAAAATTGGACATATTAGAGGAACATTTTGCGCAAAGATGAACATGATAAAAGACAAAAATGGGAAGGACCTAACAGAAGCAGAAGACGTCAAGAAGAGGTGGCAAGAATACACAGAGGAATTATATCAGAAAGATGTGGATATCCCGGACAACCCAGACAATGTAGTTGCTGACCTTGAGCCAGACATCCTGGAGAGCGAAGTCAAGTGGGCCTTAGAAAGCCTGGCTAACAACAAGGCCAGTGGAGGTGATGGCATTCCAATTGAACTATTTAAAATCTTGAAAGATGATGCTGTTAAGGTGCTACATTCAATATGCCAGCAAGTTTGGAAAACTCAACAGTGGCCAGAGGATTGGAAAAGATCAGTCTACATCCCAATCCCAAAGAAAGGCAGTGCCAAAGAATGCTCCAACTACCGTACAATTGCACTCATTTCACACGCTAGCAAGGTTATGCTCAAAATCCTACAAGGTAGGCTTCAGCAGTATGTGGACCGAGAACTCCCAGAAGTACAAGCTGGATTCCGAAGAGGCAGAGGAACTCGAGACCAAATTGCTAACTTGCGCTGGATTATGGAGAAAGCCAGAGAGTTCCAGAAAAATATCTACTTCTGCTTCATTGACTATGCAAAAGCCTTTGACTGTGTGGACCACAGCAAACTATGGCAAGTTCTTAAAGAAATGGGAGTGCCTGACCACCTTATCCATCTCCTGAGAAACCTATATGTGGGACAGGAAGCAACAGTTAGAACTGGTCATGGAACAACTGAGTGGTTCAAAATTGGGAAAGGAGTACGGCAAGGCTGTATATTGTCCCCCAGCTTATTTAACTTATATGCAGAATACATCATGCGGAAGGCTGGACTGGAAGAAACCCAAGCCGGAATTAAGATTGCCGGAAGAAATATCAACAACGGCAGTGACAGATTTTACTTTCTTGGGCTCCATGATCACTGCAGATGGAGACAGCAGCCACGAAATTAAAAGACGCCTGCTTCTTGGGAGGAAAGCGATGACAAACCATGACAGCATCTTAAAAAGCAGAGACATCACCTTGCCAACAAAAGTCCGTATAGTCAAAGCTATGGTTTTTTCTGTCGTGATGTATGGATGTGAGAGCTGGACCATAAAGAAAGCAGACCGCTGAAGAATTGATGCCTTTGAATTGTGGTGCTGGAGGAGGCTCTTGAGAGTCCCCTGGACTGCAAGAAGAACAAACCTATCAATTCTAAGGAAATCAA